CTCGCGCCCGCGCGAGGCCTCCGGCTGAAAACGCAACGCCAAGTTCCGGGCACCCCAATTAAAGGGCTTTCCAAGCAGTGCCTCGCTAATCTGGGCACTAATTACTACATGGTATCATCGAGGGCGGCGTTTGGCAATCGTTAGAAAAGAAACCATTAGACCTTCATATACAGAGCAGGAACAGGCTTGTAATTACAGGCTCTTAAAAGCAGAGGGACAGCAGCAATCCTGATTTGGCAATAGCAGTTGGCAGAGGTTGCTGCTCAGCATGGAGCGCACGTCCTTTGGTAGGTGTGTGGCTCCGAAGGGTACACACACCTGCAGAAGCAGCGAAGTGAGCAGAGCAGCGCTTGGCACCGCTGCAGAGTGGGAGACGACTAGAAGCAGAAGAACACTTCTCACCCAGCCAGCTACCTACGCTTTAGGGTATAAAACTGAGCATGTTCTTGCACCTCAGCAAATTCAGGTGTGAGCAACATCTGTCTTTCATGCAGAAACACGTATCAACATGTTCTGTGCAGGAAGGCAGGGACTGGGAAAATAGACACAGAGCTTCTTGACAAGACTTCAGAAAGTGTAACGGACCTGGCGTGGAAGGAAGAAGACATGTCCTTCCTCCTCCTGAAATAGGACAGCAAAGTACCAAGTCTCTCAAGAAGTCTAAGCCTACACCCAGAATTGCCTTTGTTGAGACAGTTGCCCCGCCTCTTATATTTACAGTAAGTGGAAAGGTGACAACATGTCACAACCCTAAAGACAAGTGCTTAGTCACTACATGAGTGCTAACTTTAAATTACCTTCTATTAAAACTACAGGGTGTGCAAGTATGACTGACTGCTAAACTGGTTGCAACATTGGTCCTGGTGTAGAAATTAAATGATCTAAAATAGAGGGAAAGACATTATGAAAGGGGAAGACAGTAATTAAAGAAAAACAATTTCAGTCATTCACACTCATTCTCTCATACTCTTGTACTCAAAAGCGCCAAATGCATATGTCCAAGCAGGCCAGAATCACTTGCATTGCAACATGAGGTAAGGAGATGCCAGCTGTCAAGTGGCATTTTGTCATCTGACAAAATGGATTTGGGACTGATTTTTATGCCAGTTAGGAGTGCAGTAGTTCAGTGATTTTTTTTCCTCAATCTTATTTAATTCACCCTCTGTAAATTTTAGGCAAGCTCACTGACTACTTTGTATCTTCCTTTTAAAGTATTTTTGCAAATACAGCCTTTCTTCCTGCAGAGCCAACAAAAAGAGCAGCAGCACATGCAATTTACAGTAACCCTTTCCCTTTTTCCTGTTATCAGAGGGCAGTGCATATGCTGAGCAGTCATTTCTGCAATAGGCACATCAGAGCATGGGCCTTTGGTCATAGTATAAACACCACATTCCTTGGTGGTTACCAGTTTGATTGCTGCTTTGATTGTCTTTGGTTATCAAATACATGCCATTTTCATAATACTTGCTCTATTGCTGCTTCTCGTGATACCACACACAGGCATTTCTTCACTTAATTCAGACCTATCCTAATATTTCTGTTACCAAATCGCTGCTTAAGATGCCAATAAGTATAGTGTTATAAAAGCTACATACTACATGAAGCTTTTTTCACATGTTTCATATTAAAACCTGTTTGAAATGAGAAGGGAAGTTGGTATAGTCGAAGCTCACAGCTGCCCATTTTTTACTTGTGTATGTCCTCACATGACATGAGAAAAGCTCATTATCCAGAGGCCACTTCATTACCACCGTTTTTTTTCTTTTGTTTTTTTTTTTTCAATGTGTATAATCAGGCCTCCAAGATAGTCTTTACTTCATTCCAAACTGGTTTCTCAAATAAGCTATATTGTATTGAATACCAGAAACGAGACCATGGGTAGAATTGTCTAAGACTCCTTGAGGAGCTTCACTAGCAACTTGACCAAAAAAAATCCATGAGCTGGATATGAGTTCACACACTGATTATTTAAAGGAAACACTCCTATCCACAAATCTAGTATTTACTTAAACATCTTTTATTTAATTGAACAGAATTCTCTGTTTGCCTTGATCCTTGCCTTTTAGTAGTGTTTGTATTGGCTCAATACCCTCAAACACGACTGTGCTGAGTTTGACGCAGTAGAAGAAAAGAAGCTTTGCCCTAAAGGTGTATATTATTAGTAAATAAAGGATAATTCACATCAGGAGTGAAACAAATTTTTAACATAATAAGCACCTGCTATCATATACTGTCTACTGATTAAGCAATGACATAGGTTTGTAGAAATAGTGGTGTATATTTCACAATGGATGGAAATTTCAAGGAAGAAAACCAAAGCACTGGCACAGGACTACTGTGTAGGCAGATGCCCATGTCGCAACTTTCCCCAGTGTTACTGTGTGCGATTCAGAAACATTATTTCAGAAGATGTTAACGCAATCATCATCCATCATGCTTTCAGAAACACGCTATTTTAACTTCACCCTCTCTTAACCAGCTAACCTAGTAATGCATTTGAATTTTAGAACCTTAGAGAAGGCCCTGAGATCAGAAGAAGGTAAAAGCTTTAGTAAACAACATACTTATTATCATAGACAAAATAACAGCAGCATGGTCACTTTGCAGTGATTTGCTTTCTTATTACTTGGGGTATAGACAACATCTACTGCCAATTTCATTTTTATAGCAAACGTCAGTATGACATCTCCTCCTGATTTCCCAGCAATTCTCTTGGTCTTCAGAAAATTTGTAATATTGATCTATGAGATTTTCCCCTGCATTTCCTAAACATCACAAACCAGCCCATTTAATCAGCTTTGAAGACTTAATCACACTCACAATTTTGAACTCCTGCCTGTGTCCAGAAAAGTCTAAGTCACAGGTGAGAAAATCAGGCCTACTCAGGAACTGCCACAAGCCTATGCCAATGCATAGAGATACATATAGAGATAGAAATAGAGATACATATAGATATAAGAAATTCTGGAAAACTTAAGTAATAAATTTTGTATTAGTTCACTACAAGGACTCAAGATTCAGTCAAAGTTCACTTGCTCATTTTTAAGCTTCATTGGAGAAGACAGTTTCTTCTAAAGAAGCTTGCAAGATTATTTTCCCTTAATAATTCTTTTATTTGTACCACTAATGCACAACAGATTTACTCTTCTAAGTTTTCTTGCTTTAGTAGAAACCTTAGTCATTGTTTAATCATAACTTGATTTTGAAGAAGCACTGAAATAGAAGAGTACAACACTTCAGGAAGGAGTGCAGCTTGTACCTATACAAAGTAATTGCTTTTAGTACATGTGTGACTGCCTGTGGTAATAGTTAAGTGCTGTTGCAGAGCTGAAAGGATGACAGCCATAAACAAGTATTTTTCTCAAAATCTCTGAGAGTGCATTGGGAAGAGGGTTTTCTATTTTATAGCGTTTCTTCAGAGTAAGCCTTCACATACAGACATTCCATAAATATCCCAGAAACTCATCTCAAGTCTACCCATTTTTGTTGAATCGGCCAGAGGAAGGTTTCACTTGCTATCAGCCTGAAGAGGTTATTGGTTTTGTATTTTTGCAAGGGTTTTTGTTTGTTTGTTTGTTTGTTTTGTTTTTGCCTTTTTTTTTAATGCTGTTAGATTACCGTACCTTTAAAAAAGCCTTCCCCAAGTAAACACAACAGTTGTCAAAGTTCAGACTGTACTCACTTGTAAATGTGGTTGTACAGTCCCAGGACACAGCGTGACATGCATTTGAATCAAGTCTGCAAAGATATTTTCCCTTCCTTTCCCTTTACCCTGCTTCCTCAGCAGTTCACACTCACTTCCTCACACTTCTACGCATGATCATTAGTGCAGTAAATGAGACTGGAGATCGTTCCTCAGTCTGTTTCAGGTGGAATTTGCTTCCACAGTGTAAATGAAACTACAAAACAGGGCCAGAAAGAAGGTGAGAAGGGCCAAATGGACATGGGGGGAAGGGAGCAGAAATACATCTAAGGTTGACTATCCACAGTAAATAGATCCTGTCACTGTCATCTCTCCTAGACTCAAACCTTTAATCCAGATAATGGAGATAACATTAGTTTCCTAACTCACCTTTTTGATTAAGTTGATCAATTAATGCTCATAATGCATTCATGTAATAGAGCTTCAGAGTAAATTGTAAAGAAAATTGAAACATTTTTTGCCTTGAAATACATATTCCCAATGGTTACCGGGAATCAAACAGTATATTTTTGTTTAGGGAGAAAAATATTGCTGCTCTATGTTCCTGAAAATCTCCCTTCCTCTTACAGCATATGCATCACATAAAATGAAAGAAACAATGACACTTTTGGTGTTCCTATCAGCAAAATTCCACTGCCAAAATTTAATCTTCCAGATTTTTGCAAGCCTGTATGTGTCAGTGAGAGCCAGTTACCTTGAGAACTTCCATTGCCTCTGACTGACATTCACAATTTGTTCAGTTCTGTTGTTGAGTTGCAAAATCCTTTGTTCCTATTGAGACAAAATCCTAAGATCCTTAATTGCTAAATATCTGTTAAGTCAAAGAGAATTTTGTCAGAATCAGGGATAAATTCTAAGCAAAATGCTGGGGTGTTTTTTTTGTTGTTGTTTGGTTGGTTCTATTTTTTACTTTGTGTTTACTCAAAACTCATCCTTGGAGTTGCATCACTGAAGAATTTTGAAATAGCAGACAAAATAAGGAATAAGTATAAAAGTAATAATAAAAATAGAGCAGCAGGAGGATAGAAAGAGGAGATAACATTTCGCATAGGAAGGATATTTCAGAAAACAAGTTGAAAATATGATCCATGTTGTGATGAAAACTGGGTACGTTGAACCCTCAGGGACAGCTTGTCTTGCACAAGTTCCCAGACGTTACAGTAACTTCCCAGCACATGCTGTGTTAATAACAGACCC